TGTGTGTGTGTGTGTGTGTGTGTGTGTGTGTGTGTGTGTGTGTGTGTGTGTGTGTGTTGTTTTATAAAGTAATCACTGGGTGGAGAAGAAGCTGAATGTAAGGCCATAAGCCTGACTGGATTTATGAGTCATTTAGCCTAAAATCCTGAAATGCATACCAAATGAACAGTTTACATGTCAAAAAGCAAACAGCATCATCCACTGTGAAGCTCTACACTCAAAAAACGTTTTGGCCGAAATGCTCATTTTAACTAACTTAATTTTGTTACATATGAACAATTTAAAAGGTTAAATTTAACAAATCTGGTCTGATTAAATTTGCTTGATTGGTAAACATTCAGTTTATACCAAGCACATTCTTCTTAGTGATTCCATATTAATGTTGAATTATTTGAATAGGTAAACCTTTGATTTTATTTGTTTCAGCTGCTTTTATTCAAAATATTGCTTCATGTTGACTGAAAGTTAAAAATCTTTTTTTAAGTATAAAGCATGACTTGTTTAAAACTTCCTCATCAGGCTGTTACTCTGCTGGATGCTTTATTAATCAATTAAATTTGAATTCCCCAAACTCAGCTCCAATCTCTTAATTATTGATCTTTTCCGTGTCAGGCCAGTGAAACTAAAGCACTAACATTATCTAAGCTATAGTGCTGTTGCCTAACTTCTTGCTGCAACTGCGGCCGTTTAACTCAGTGGACTCGGATTTAAAGCACCTCAATGAATGAATGATTTACCATTTACTGGGAGTGGCAGCAAATTAGCTGAACCCACTGAGCAGGAATCATTCTCTCAAACAGCAATCACAACAAAGCAATAACCGATAAATAATTCACTTTTGATTTTCCACATCACACCAGCCACTGGGATACTTATGTTTGCCTTGTTAAAGCTTCTGCTGTAAGTCAGATTTGGAAAGAAATTCCTGTTTTCTTCCCACTCCCAGCTTTGTGTGAATGAATGATTTGCTTTAACCAGCCAGCTGCTTAGTCACCAGATACTGGACCAGTCATTGTGTGAATCCCCTCTTTTTTTCTGACAAGACAGAATGTATGAACCAATCGCTTCCCCTCTACCGCTTAATCCACCCATAAGATGGGTGGGTAATGTACTGCCGCATTAGGAGGATGGGAATAACAGAAATCCTTTAATCCCATTACTGTTACCCCCGCAAAGATGAAGAAAGAGAGCGTGAGAGTCTGCATAGTTAATGTGTGCATACATAGCAAGCCATGAGAGGAAGGAGATAGTAAGGGAGTGAAAAATAGACTAACTGCAGGAACTGAAACAGACAGAATTATTTATAATAGCGATGAGATTTCATCTCAGCGCATGGATGCTGGTAGACATGGAAGTTTTTTTTGAAAGCACGTACACAATAATATAAGCGCATGTGCATGAATGTGTGTTTTTGCTCACTCTGGTCTGCATAGTTCTTGATTTTGAGCTCCAGTTGGCGGGAGTGGGACTCCATCCGGTCCACATGGCTCTGCAGGTCCTTCTTCTCCTGCTCATGAGTGTCTTCAAATTCGATGAACTTCTACACACACACACACACAAACACAGTTTTGTTGGACTCACTGACACTTAATGCAAAACATATCAAAGCTGGTTTGTCAGCAGTCTGATCTTGTTTGATGCTTGTTTTGCAATATGAAAAATAAAAGACGCCATTCCTAAATTTGGGCGTTCTATTTTTACATGACAGTAATGAAACCAAATGAGGAATTCTGCCCCACTGCAAAATGCATGTTTGAAATAGTAATTTGGTCACTGGATTTAGAATAAAAACTCTATTATAAATACAATTTAGTTGTTTTACAGCAGCGGTCCCCAACTGCCTCGGACTGGTACCGGTCCGTGATTCGTTTGGTAGCGGGCCGCGAGAGTTTAGGCTCATGTGTGAAATGTATGGTTTTCAGGGTTTTTATCGGTTTTGAGCGTTATTTTGTTATCATTTTTATCGTTTACTCGGTTTTCCTGGGTCTTTTCACGTGTGTTATGAATAAATCTTCTTTTTTTCAGTACCGGTACTTGTTTTATTTTGTTGTATTTATCCGCGACACCTTAAAGGCTGGTCCATGAAAATATTGTCGGGCATAAACCGGTCCGTGGCGCAAAAAAGGTTGGAGACCGCTGTTTTACAGTATTAACATTTAGGAAAACTGATGTGACGCGTACAAATATAACTGTGGCTTCTGAAAATGAAGGACATATCTCTGGATCCCTAAAAGTATTAATGGTCCTACGACTGTGACAGATTATCAAATGTGTCTTGAGTCTGATCTGCGGTGCCGCTTCCTCCCAGTTTCCTTATAGGCCGGCCTCTGAAAATGTACTTTTGTTTATGTGTGTGTATCAACGTCCACATCCTGTCCAGCTTAGCAAGCCAAGGCCCTGACGTGGCTCTCTTCCTTCCTGTGGGCACAGGAATCTTACCCTACTTTGATGTACAAGCAGATGCAGGAAACTTCCTTGCAAAGACATAATTTAGCTTATACTCAGTGATCGACCCAAATGACACTCTTCTTTATCAGTAGCAGCCTGCTTGCCGTGGTTTTAAGGGAGTCGCTACTGTGTTTTTGAAGGTATGAATTACATAGAAGTGAAATTTAAGGTAATTACTATGGATCTTAAACTGGAAATCTACTAGTAAATTAAAATAAAATAAAAGTAAAAGAAAGTGGTAGAAATATGAGGAAACATGAAAAGTTTCAAGCATGAACATTTGCTGACGTTCTCAGTCTTCCATATTAGCAGTACAGTAGTACCATAGAAGCCCTGTTTCTTCCAGGATTATTCCTGTAAAAAGGACGTTTTTCCTTCCCACTGTCGCCAAGTGCTTGCTCAAAAGGCATTAATTTCATTGTCAGGGTTTACTCTGTATTATTGTCCAGTCTTTACATTACATCAACACCAGAACTCCAGAAACAACCAATAAAATTAGTTTAGTTAATACTGCCCAGGGATGGCAGAAGGAAATTAGCTAGTAACTAATAAAGAATAATAGAAATAATCAGTCACGCTGGACCTAAGATAAAGCAGTAACTATGTGTGAGACAATTAAAACACCAGCTTCCTGTTTGTGAAGATATGATAGAAAGTATTCCCGCAGCAAACAACATCAACAGTGCAGATCAGACACACCCAAGAAATTTAAAGATGATGCAAATAAGTTTTAACGGGCTGAACTGCTGCGTTAGATGTAATTAAAGTTAAAGATATTCTCACAGCCGTCTGCTTCATTCTGCTTCATTTTTCAAGAATATCTTCAATTTAAATCAGAGTTTAGTGGAAACAGGCTCGCAAACACATCACAGCAGACAGGAATGTGCTGCTATCCTTTTTTACCTGTTATGAAACAATGAAGGAGCGGGTAAAAGGTGTCATTAAAAACGACTTCCAAAAACAGAAATGTCACACCCTTCATCAGTCTGATATAATGGGTGGGAAGGAGGTCAGTCTATTGACACTGAAACCCAAGATAAAAACAAAAGAAAAGCAGAAATGAAAGCTGAAGGATGTCCCCCTCTTCTCACAAAGGATCACATGACCTGGAAGTAACACTGTGCCTTCCCAGGAGGCTCAGCGTACCCCTGCTCACTCCTCCTCGGGGCTTTAGATAAAGAGTCCTACCCAGGAAACCGGCTTATTGTTTCTGTGTCTATTTAAAACACATTATACTGCAAAACAATGCAGGATACAGCAGTATTGTCACTGTGTATACGAGTGTTTGTGGCTGCTGTGACCAAGGTGCAGCATCACCCACTGGATGGAGGTTCCACAGCATACCGGGCTGCTTTTCCACTGCCCCTGAGCCACAGAGGCCAGCTGTGACAGAAGGTCCGAGTCACATCGCTTCACCCTTCATATTGAGGGCTCAGGGCAGATTGACCACACACAAACACTAACACCCTGCCAGAAACACGAAATCCAGGGCTGCACTTTTGCTGCCAATGTGCACCCACTCAGATATCACATCCTAAACTTTAGAAGCTGTGTCTTCATAGGCATGGGCCTACAAAGTAAGTAATTATTGCACAACAACAGTGTTATAACCTGACCGCTTTGGAAGATGTGAACATTCCCCAGCTGTGAGAGTCTGTTATAAATAATGAGATCCGAGAGCATTACAGGAAATGTAGGTTGCAGGTGTTTTCCAGCTCTAAATAAAAACTTTTAAGTTCGGAAGGACTGTAATGTCAATTTAGACTTTATTTTTTGTCTCTTACAAATTACCCAAACTTACCCAAAAGTATGTTTATAGCTAAATTACTGGAAATCTCCTTTAAGTAATATAAATGTATATTTCTGATATTTTCCAGGTGTTAGATATCTGAACTGTGGTCATCTATCTGTGCACACAGTATTTTCTGCATATGAAGGTAAGAGCTTAAAGAAGTAACACTGTTGTGCAGGATGTTTGGCTTTGCACATGCATGAATGATGGAAATCATGCTGTTTAGTGATGTAAACATCACTAAGAGTAGTTTGGTTAAAGCTGTGGTGGGATTTTCTGTGACATTTTATGCCTCACTGCTATTCCACAAGCTCCATCCTCTTCACACTGATGTGTTTTATAAACGTCATATATGTATTTTACAGTTACAGTGATGGCCCAAAACGCTGAGTCACTTCACCTGCTGTTTCTGACTTCACTATCTGATGCAATAGGACATCATATGTGCATTTGCCAGGGATGTGGCTTTGATGCGTTGTTTGATAGATAGACACAGTTATATGACAGATCATCCCGCAAGAAAACAGAGCCAACAAGGAGACAGGGCCATTTCAGTGAGCCGTTAGCATGACTCTGCCTTGTTTACATCCCCACTGAACACCATGGATGCTGCCAGGCCACGTGTATAGGTTAATTCATCGCTCAGGGATGCTGGGAGGAGAAAGCACCTGAGGCAGGCTTCATTGCCCTCCTTTAAGAAAAAAAAAGGATGCTGAATGTTGATATTTTCCTTCCCCCTCTCTTAGATCCATTCAGCTCACCTCCTCTGCGTGTTTCCTCAGCGCTTTCTCCCGCTCGTACTGGGTGATGAGCTGCTCGTTGTCCTCCTTCAGCAGCTCCAGCTCCACTTCGTGCTCCTGGTTCTCCGCGAACACGGAGTCCAGGTTCTCCAGCACGGCCACCACAAGCGGCATCAGCTCTTTCACCACGTCCTCGTCGTATTTACCGATAAGCCTCTCGAACTCGCGGTAAATTGAGTTGGCCAGGCCCGACACCCGCTCAGACATCATCGCTGATGTCCCCGGGTCGTCCTGGTACACAACTCCGTCTTCCAGCTCCATTTTTAGTCCTCTTCCTTTCAACTAACAGGACCAGTTTTTTCTCCGCCTTACCCCGCCACTATGAATGCCCGTGTTCCTTAAATAAAGACAGCTTTTCTTTAATCAAACGGACACATTGAGAACAGCGTACGAATGTACTATTACGATGCAAGACAGGCTACGTGGATTTCTTCCTATTTTTTCCTCGCCTGTCCCGTGCTGCGTTCAAATGCTCCCCCGAAGCTCCCAAATTCCTCAATCACCATGAGAACAAAACCACAAGGATCAGTTTCCAGCCCTTGAAGACCCAGAAGTAGCGAAAGATACTGTTTATCTTTTGAAAATATAGCACAAACAATATTATATAGACACACAACACTGTATTTTTTCACATTAAATGTAAACAACAAAATGTTTTTTTTCCTGTAGCTGATTGAATTTAGAAATGTAGACGTATTGTTACACTGCACGAAAATGACACGTTTATCTTGAACATGGAAGGAGACAAACAAATCCAGGCATTTTATTGCGTCCAAGACAACTTGTAATTCCAACAATTCTCATAGTACGTGAAGCAACTATCCAACAGCTGAGTTGTTGACCAGACATATCACGTGATGACGTCACAACATGCTACCGGCGTAAAATTGTTGGCAGTTTTATGGAGAAAAAGTCGCCTCGAAAGTTTTCTAAATAATATGATTAAAAAAAAACTGAGGTTTAAAAAATGTGCAAAGTGATTTGTGTGCAACTATTTAGATAGTGAAAAGTAAATAAATATATTATAAGATTCTGGGTAATTCCCCAGCTGTGCATTAGTAAAATAAAAAACATAGGTCTGCCTATATACATTTCGACATAAACATAAAAGATGAGTGACATACCATGCAAAGTACTATGGAGAGAAATTTTCCAGAAAACGGTTACAAATGCCAGGGCTCTAGACTAACTTTTTGCCAGGGTTACACTGGTGCGCTTTTTTTCTTAGCTGCACCAGCACAAAAGTTTTACATGTTCACTTTTTTTTAATTGCTGTTCATACAGACAATATTTATTTGTAAACGATTAACTAACAATCTTATCAACACAAAGTTCTGTATTTAAAGCACAGTTCTACAAGAAAGATGAGTTACTGGAAAAGTGCGTGGGCTTAAAGTGCTTAAAGTGGCACTCTTTGGCAATATTGTAGACAATGTTAAACTTAATCATCATCTCGGCCTCTGACAACCTGTTTGCTGCTGCGTGCCGCTGAAAGGCACTGAGAGGGGACACTAGAGCAGTGCATTTATCGCAGCATATAATGTGTTTTCTGGATACTCTGCTCTTTCTGCGTTCGGAGGTTGATGGCTCTGTGTCAGAGCACTGGCTATGAATTTCAAACAAATCAGGTCTTAACTTAATGAAAAATTTATCAACTAGCGATGTGTCGGTCGCGAACGAATCGGCTCTTAGAGCCGAATCTTTGAAGTGAACGACGCGAGCCGGCTCCTTATTGGGAGCCATGTATTTTTTCATTCTCTCATCTATGACACTTTTTCCGCTTCACTTCGCACGTGAGCCTTGTGCTTGCGCTGAGCAGCGGGGGGAGGGGCGGCAGTAGCACAGGAACAGAGCAGAGAGAAAGAGAGCCAGGGACAACAACATGACATTAGAAAGGTATAGTAATCATCCACAACTATTATCAGTTGCAGATGATAAAGGATTCAGAAAGTTTATTCATGCAGGCCCATATGACAGAGAATGTGCGTCTTCTTTTTGTTTTCATATTTTAATTTATATTTAATCTGTTGTGGTTTGCTGTGTTTTGTGTTGTTTTCACTTTAAATTTGTTTAAAAGGAAAAAGCTTAAAATTTAAATAGTTAAAAGTTGAGATGTGAATAGTTGTTTTTTGTATTATATAATTTATTTATTACATATTATGTGGAGTGAATAAATAAAAGTTTATTTACGGTGGCCCCTAGCCTCCTGACTACCAGCAATGCAAATTTGTCCTCTGTAGAGCACCTTTCTAAACCTGAATATCTCCCATGCACTGCATACTACAGAATTGCCTCCTTTTGGTATCTACAGAGGACATTTAGGGCTTTCCAATGATACCAAATGTGAAGGGGTGGAGCTTTGGGAACTTTAGTTTTTTCATTAAGGAACATGGCAGCCATCGCTGCAAGCACATTTTATGGGCAGAAGAAAAGTAAGTGCATAAAACTTCTTATTGAGCAATTTTTAGCTATAAATGTTGTTAACATATTTTAAATAAGTCTCTTGATAACACATTAAAACATAGTATGCTTAATTCTAACTTCATTTTAGTATAGTATTGAAGTGTTTAAAAAATCTCCTCCATAGTGGACATTTGTAGTCATTTCCTCCATTTTGTTCTGTTTTTTTAAATGACCAGAAAAGGAGTCCTTTTTAGAAGCAGAAAAAAATTTATTGCAGTTTGATGAGGGAAACCCAGATCTTGAGTTGTCTGATGAAGAAGATCATAGGGAATAAGCCCTTGAAGAAGAAAGAAGGAGGAGCATCAGGGATGGTACTCAGACCTGAACTTGCTGTCATTAAGTGGTTGGACAGCACGGCCACCACAAGCGGCATCAGCTCTTTCACCACGTCCTCGTCGTATTTACCGATAAGCCTCTCGAACTCGCGGTAAATTGAGTTGGCCA